ACAGGAACACTGTTCATATTTTGAAGCATGCACACAGCCCTTTCTGGCTTGAATTAATATACTTCTATTGAATTTTTAAAAATACCACTAAGTTATTTTGGGTTTTAGTTGTGGGAAGGGATTTTACTTGGGCTTCAGATTTGTTACTGTCTTGGTAGTGTTTGGATAATGAGCCAAGAAATATATTGTTGCTTTGATGGGAACAGAAGAATTGGCAAACATTAATTATTATTTTAAAACTCTTGAATTTACATGATAAAGCTCAGAGAGAGCATATTTAGATGATTTAGACATTTTTTGTTGTTGTCCCTTTTTTGCTGTTCTTAAATGATCAGTTAATGAAATATTTTCCTCCAAAACTCTTAGGCACCTGGGTAGCCACATCACCATTGTCAATGTCTTCTTTGATGTGAGGATAGCAGCCCTTGACATTGCAGCCCACATACTCAAAAGTCCCAGGATCTCACTAATGTTTCTGGAGTACTTTCTGGCTACATCTGGATTTGCCAGATGCTGTTGACATTTTCATAATAGGTGATATTGTTATTATCTTTAATATGCATCTGCTTCTTTCTCTTTCTGGAATCTACTTGAGGGCTTTGATGATAAAGACCGGTGGAGCTGCCACCTCATCCAGGATTCGATCGTTTTTAATTGTCCATTTCTCTGTCATGGACTGCCTTCTAGTCACTGGTTGCCCAGGCAATGGGAATGTCATCACTTTTTCTGGAGACCGAATCTGTGGGTCAATTTGGGAGCCAATGCACATCTTTCCTCCTCTTCCCCACATGTTGGACACATGTCCGATGCACAGGTTTGATCTCTTTGCGATTGTACCTGGATGTCACGATGGAGGCACCTGCTGAGAGATGGACAAACAAGCCACTTCCAAGCTGAACACTGAGCACTACACGTATTCTGTAATAAATAATTCAGTTACATAATGCAAGTAAATTCAGAGTGCATCCTGATATAGTGGAAATAACAGAAGCTAAAAATACGAAGACTGAGATTCAACCCATGTCCTTTATTCCATTATCATCTCTTTTTTTTTCATTGTAAATACCTTTTTTCTTTTTAATCATTTTATTAGGGGCTCATACAACTCTTATCACAATCCATACACACATCAATTGTGTAAAGCGCACTTGTACATTCATTGCCCTCAT